TTATGTATCGACACATGCTAAATGAAATAATATTTATTGCATATGACTTCTAATGAATTCAAAAGTGCTATTTGTTACGATATTTACTTACTTTTTTTGGAGAATATGCTGAACAAACAATGCAGAGATTTCAAGGCTTCGAGTGTTGACAAACTAAGGTGACCTTGTGACCTTGTACTCAACAGCCTTATGTACTTAGGTGACCAGTATAAAGTTATAAATAGACTACATAGTATAAAGATGTGTTTATATCATTACATTACAATTACAAGTACATGGCTAAGTATAGCCAGAGTGGAAAACACCGTTGTTGCAAATATGCTACAATGGGTCTCCCAGTGGGAATCGCTCTGATGTTCAGGAGGCATCAATGTGATGTATAAGGCACCCCACTAGCATTTGGGGGCATCACTCTGGTGTTCAGGAGGCATTACTCTGATGTACAGGAGCATCACTCTGATGTACAGGAGCATCACTTTAGCATTTGATTGCATCTCTCTGATATTTAGGTGGTTCACTCTGATTGCATCACACTGATATTTAGAGGGCATCACTCTGATGGCATCACTCTGATATTTAGGGCATCACTTTGATAGCATCACTTTGATATTTAAGGGGCATCACTCTGATATATTGGGGCATCACTCAGGTGGCATCACTCTGATATATAGGGGGCATCACTCATGGCATCACTCTGATATTTAGGGGGCATCACACTGATATTTAGGTTCATCACTTTGATTGTTTCACTTTGATATAAGGGGGCATTACTCTGATATTTAGTGGCATCACTCTTATATTTATTAGGTATCACTCTGATATTTAGGTGCATCACTTTAATTATTTCGCTCTGATATTTTAGGGCATCACTCTGATGGCATCACTCATATTTAGGGGGCATCACTTTGGTATTTAGGAGTCATCACGCTGATATTTAGGAGGCATCACGTTGATATTTAGTTTCATCACTTTGATTGTTCACTTTGATATGTAGATGGCATCACTCTGATATTTAGAGGGCATCATTTTTTTTTCAAGAGTGCATCATTCTGATATTTAGTGGCATCACTCTGATATCTAGTGGCATCACTCTAATATTTAGGAGGCATCACTCTAATATTTAGGAGGCATCACTTTGATTATTTCACTCTGATATT